CCCTCCTCTCTCCTCGGCTCCTCCGCTCGCATCTCCTGTGGGCGTGACTAAGACACGAGGATAGGAGTCGAGGAGGGGAATTAGAGAAATGAGAAAGGGTCACTGACATAAAAACATAAGGGAATTCTAGAAAAAATGCTATGTTTAGTACTGTGGCATGAAACCCCTAAGCCATAACAGACCGTAGTGTTGTATGGTTTTTATATTGATACATGCCTGAAATATTGATCAGGGTTCATACACTTTTTCACCAAGGATTTTCAATGACTTTTCCATGACCTTTCCTAATTTTCCATGACCAAAGAAATTACTCTTTCTCAGCGGTACCACTGAATATGGTTTACTTTAACATGGAACAGGAAAATAAGGTCTGCATATGAAACATGTTGGTCCTATCTAAAACAAATCAAATAGCAAACTAGCTAACTAACTAGCAAACTAGCTTCGACACGCTAAAGCAACTAAAATCTCTCACCAGCAAAATACCTCGTCAGTTAAATGCCATTTTACGTTTCATTACTATACGATACAGTATGTATTATCATTATAGTATAACTATTTCGGCGATTAGATAAAATATAAATTATATTTGATGCAACTTTAGTTACATTTCCATGACTTTTCCAAAACGTTGGAAAAAATATTGTTTTCCATAACTTTTCCAGGGCCTGGAATTTGCATTTTGAATTTCCATGACTTTTCCAGGTTTTTAATGACCGTAAGAACCCTGATCGATGTACGCCTATGGGTATAACTTCTTAAATCATATTTCTGGAAAACTTCAAGGATTTTGTCTTTAAATCTTAAATCGAGGATGAAATGTTGTACGTCGTTAAAATGTTCCGAGTGACTTTAATGTCCTTCAGCCAGCGTCATCTTAAAGCCAAAGGTAATTTTAAGATCACAAGGTTTCTGCTCGCTGACAGCTGCAATGGTGATTTTAATGAGCTCTCCTCTGAATTCCACTTCCCTCATCCCTGCGGGGAACCGCCATTCCATCAACTGACAACCAGGCAGTGAGAACACACTCACACAAACTGGTCCTGCATACACAATCAAACATGGACTACTGTCAGAGTGCTCTGTTGGATCTGGCTGCGTTTGTTCGGTATAACGGCTGGGCCGATGAATGATTCAGCAGTGAGACAAGTGTGTGTGTGTGTGTGTGTGTACTGAGAGATGGAGGAGGGGGGTGTGTTTAAAGTGTGTGTCCAGCACCTCTTATCAGGAGCGGCCCTGGAAATGTTCCTGTCGTGCTGTCTCTCTTTCCTTCTGTCGTGGCGGATCTCGTCACGCTCCCTGACCTCGCTGTCCTCGCCACCTGCTGCGGAGATGGAGGGGGGATGGATAGAATGAGGGAGAAAAGGGTGCAAGGAAAAGAGGAAAAAGACCACATGAGAGAAGTGGGAGACAGATGATGTGATGTGCGAAAAGAAAGATAGAAAGGAGAGGAATGAGTGGATAGATGAGGAACAGTGGAAGTGATGTGAGGGATAGATAGTATAGGGATTGAAGAAATAGGAGGCAAGGGAGGGAGAGAAATGGGAAAGAGTCAGTGGACAGTTAACGTGAAAGACAAAAACAACGCTGATTTATTAATTTTTTTAAACGGGCGCAAAATAAAAATATGAACCTTAAGCCTTAGCATTATTAAGGCCCCTTTAACACATTTAATGTTAGACTTCGATAGGATGTGACATATCCAAACCATCCTTCAAAATGCATGCACACAAACAGGTCATGCAACATGGATTTCTCTTCTGGAAATCCATGTGAATGATCAGCGGGGAAGCAGAAACATCATTTCACAGCTTGCTGGTCCTGTCAACACCGGCAGGGTGAAAAATGCTGTCATCACTTATGCCTCGTGTTCCAGATTTGGAAAACGGACAACGGCCCTGACAGCACAGTCTGCTCCACTAACTCAGAAAACCACCCTGAAAATAAGGAACAGAGAACATGACTTTGTTCTAGGTTCCTCGTCTTTAGGACTCACCTTTGTCCCCGTGACTTTTGATCCCCGCCCTGCGGTCTCGAGCCATTTGGGCCAGTTCCCTGAGTTTCTCCTCCTTCTTTTCCTTCTCCTTCTGGGCCATCTTCTTCTCCACCTGGGCTCTCATCTCCACTGCTTCTCTGGCCTATGGAAACAGTCAGCATTTCATGGTCATTAAAAGATCGAAAACGTTTTTTAAAAAATTAGTTTTAGACAATCCTGCTTTTGGTAATCAGATTCTTAAACTCAATTTCCTGGCACTTAGCGACTTAAGTTTGTATAAATATATATATTTATTTAATCTTTTTATTGGACATCTTTACTTTAAATTCCCATGTTTATGTCATATTTTATCTCAACTTTTTCTTGCACATTCTTACTTCTTTTGTTTGTATAAATATTTAATTATTTTTATTGGAATTTTTATATTTTACTTTCATGTAGTATCTTATTATATTTCATATCAGTTAATTATTTTGAAACCTTGGATTCTTATGTTTATTTAATATCTCATTAAATTCTTAATTGTTTCATCTTTAATTGAAGTCTTTTTTTATCTTTGAATTTGTACTTTTTAGTTTGAAATCTTATGTTTATATAAATATTTTTAATTTAATATTTGTATTGCACATTCTTACATTTTATGTTAATATAAATATTTCAACTGTTTTGTTTTATTTAATCTTGTCTTGGAAATGTTTACCTTTAATACTGCCGTTTTTTGTTGGTATTTTTATTGCATTGTATTCTTACTTCTTACGTTATTTAAATATTTTTTATTTATTTAACTTATTGAATTTTATTCTAAAAAAAGGAAAAACTTTCACAAAAAACATTTTTACCTAGGGCAACTAAAGTATTTCTGAACCACAAATCGATGGTACCTTTCTGTCGGCGATGTAGAGCGCCTCAGCCAGCTTAGCAAAGTTTTCGTTGATATGAACCGTCTGCAGCCCCCTGCCATCAGCCGCCAGACGTTTGTCAAGAGGAATGGTGTAGCCCTGAAAGATATTAAGCATACAGAGATGAGAAAAAGGAAGTGCGACGATGGAACTGGAATCACAACGAGAGCATCTGGAGTCCAAATAATCTAATATTTATGTAATGTGTCAAATATTAAGCCTGGAAAACCAAATACCTTCTTGCCATACACAAAAACATCAAATGTAACCCTGGTGATTCCCTACCTTAGCGTTTTTCCAGTTGGAGATACATGGAGGAATCTTCCACTCCTGCTGCTCCTTGACTGTCATCTAAGCAGAGGAAGAGAAACCATCAAACATACAGACTTTTAAGAAATGAAAATAAATTCAGTTGGATTTTTGGAGTGTGAAAGTAGTAAGAAGCAGAATGTTTTTGATATTTCAGATGGTTGTACCTTTCTGCTTGGGGAGTGCATGACAGGGGCAGGGGGGGAAGGAGGTCCTCTGGGAATCTTCTTGTTGATCCTGAAACATACAATTATTTCCATCAATTTTCATGTCAACACTTTATTTCTTCTAATCAAAAACAATAACTTTAAAACCAAACTGTTTTACAGTAAAATAGTTGTTAAGAAGTCTATGAGGCTATTTCTTAAATTTGGCAGTGTATTTCTGGGCATTCGAGGGGTTGCCGTGTCAAATGTGGTGCAATTTAGACACATGAAAGATGTATTATTTATACACGATAAGTCGGGAGTGGCGTCTTTCTCTTTCTTTACAGGTTCCTGTGTTACTTACTTGAAACGTGGAGGTTCCATTGGATCTTTCTGCATCTCCACCATGCGGATCACCCTCTGTTTGGCCCCTGAGTTGAAAGCCACTCCCTGCTGGGATGGGGTGTATCTGGAGGAGAGAACGAGAGGAAAAATGTGTCACAACACCAACTATTTACATCACCCAAATAAGGGAGATAAAGACACTAATTGTAATCCATTTAACAGTATATACAATCTAAAATATACTTTGCGAAGCTAAAGGAATATTGCAACAAACCACTTCAAGGTGGCAAAACACAACATGAAATGGGACCAATCAAGCTCTAAGTGGGATTATGTTGAACAATTCATATGTTCTGCATGTTGTGTTTTGTCATGTCTTTTCTATATTTTTTTTGTGTGAGCTGCTATTGTCATAACCAGACTACCTTGTTGATGTGTACATCTTGCCTTTACAAATACATATTACAGGTAGGCACTTCTTAAGTGTCTGGGAGTCTGTATCACAACTTCACCTTCATTCCCACACAATGTCAAAGTAGCATTATACAAAAGCAGAGTCATACAAGTTTCCTACTTTCTCTAATGACTCATACATACCTGATGTACTGTGCAGGGGCCTGTTTGTCTGCAGCTCTTACAGGCATGGCAGCAGCGATCTTTTGAGACACCTGCTTATCCAGGGCCATGCGGGTCTTCTCCGTCAGCTACAAACAACCACCATGTTTAGATTCTGACTACAACTCAAATTCTAAGTCAAGCAACTTATAAATGTTTGAAAAACAAATCAATTTCTGATTAATTGTCAATACCATTTTTGATCACAAAGAATGAACTTCATTTTCACAGTCACCAACGGAGAATATCAACATCGACTGATTTATTCGGGCGAATTGTTTATTTTCTTTAGTTGGTTCAATCTAGAGCAGTGGTTCTCAACTGGTGGGTCGCGACCCCGTTTCGAGTGGGTCGCGGATGTGTGAGTGAATTATTATTTTTTTTTTTAGGGGGGGGGGGAAGTCAAACTTTTATTTTGAAGGCCCGATTTTCTAACGCTGTGCATGCAGTCGGCGTTGGACTGGAAGTACCGGAGACCATAAACATGGTCACAACAAGATCATCTTCTCAATAAAATATCTTTGCTGTTGTTTTTTCGAGTCTTCTGGCCAATCAGAATCAAGATTGTTGCCGGAAGTCCGCCTAAAATCTCACCTAGGACAGCAAATTGTCTAGAACCGGCCCTGGTACTAGGCCTAAAGAGCCTTTCTTGTGCTGACACATAGAAACAAATTGGCGGGGCGCCTTTGCAGGCCACACACTAAAAATCCAGCGCTCCGCGCTCATTTTTGCTGAGATACAAATGAACACATAATGAAATATGACCCCCGGTTTGATGATTGACAGGTCACAGAACAATGGGGGATATCTACCCTTACCCACAATTTAAACTATTTCACACAGACTATCTCCTCTTTGCTCTTCATTCTGTGTGGAGCAGCAAGTTCAGCTGTCAGAACAAAGTCAAAAACAAACAATGGCATAAAATATTATTAATATGTCGGGTAGTAATAGATTTATTTATTTTCTTCTCAGAGTGTACCAGAATGCACAGTTTATGTTAGTATTTCTAAAAATCTCCTGGGGGAGAATCCCCCCAGATCCCCCTGCTGGAGTGGGGCTTACAGCATGTGTGCCTTTTTATATAGTTCAGCTTTGATTCCATCATCTCATTAAACCTTTTTTAAAAGCATACTTTAGTTCTGTAAAGGGATATATGCACTGTACTTCACTTTTATTGATATTGTATGCTGAAAAGCATATATACTACAGCACAATTTTTTGTTGAATAGATTTGAGTGCTTCAAAATGTTGGGTCGCGATGTATTGACCAAGTAAAAAGTGGGTCCCGAGGCCTGACCAGTTGAGAACCAATGATCTAGAGTCCCAACAATAACTTCATCTGTTATTTAATGTTTCTATTCATACACATTGCAACATGGCTTACCTCTTTTACAGCCTCCTCATCAGGCTTCTGCAGTTCTGGAGTATCCTCATGCAGAACTTCCTTTGGAAGAAGGTCTGTGTACTTACTGAAGATAACCTGCAAAAATAATGACGAAAAATGCTTTAAAAACAAAACTAGCGTGAAAAGGAAAATGAGATTCTTCTTCATAGTCTTTTTTACAAAGTCTGCCGAGTGTGTGTTCTGTAAATTAAAGACTTGCTTTTATCTTGTCTTGAAATAATTAACTCTGGCAATAAAACCAACTAACTAATAAGTGTTGTATGAAGCTTGTTATGACTTAGATCTGTGAGTGTCTAATATATTACATTCCATTTATACATTGTGTGCAGTTGTATCTCATCCTAAAGAATCCACACATTATCATACTGATCTATCTTTCCATCATCGGGATCGAATTACACCACACTTTTAATATAATCTTGATATTTTTCAAGTTGCGCATGGATACATATTTGACATGTATACCTTATCCTTGCCCTGTCCTGCTCTCGCGATGGCGTCATATTTGATCTTTCCTTCTGCATCCACCTGCACCGCGAGGGCGTTGGATGTCTTCTTCTTCCGACCCATCTCCAGAGGAAACTGGGCCACGTGGATCTCTGGGAAAGATCCTCCATCTCCAAAGTCCTACAGAAACAAAACAGTTACAGCATAAGTTAGAAGATGGACTTGGTGTTGATAACCATGGGACATCAGACAATAAATTACCCCCCAGTTATCTGACAATAACAGTTTTATCATATTTGAGATAACCATGTATATATTGATTAAATAAACATTATATACCTCAAGTGAACGAGGCACCAAGCCTTTTCTTTGTCCATAAGGAGGGGGCTCTCTGCGGGACGAGACCAGGGCTGTGGAGTAGCACTTCTGGGCCCGAAGCTTCTCCTCTGCCTCTAACTGGTCCTGAGACAGCTGGGTCGGCGCCGGTAAAAAGCTGGAAACAAAGTAAAACACGAGTAAGACTCATTGTTTGTACAGTACCTTTGGTGATGTAACGTTAAGCCCTAGCTAGCGTTAGCCGACAGTGGCTCAAAGTAACGTCGCCTTTACTTTGAAAACTGATAACCAGCTAGCTAACAGTCGGTTTATGCTACACGCATAACACGGTAACAGTTCTAGGCACAAACCTGAAGCATAAAGCGTGCACACGAATGGTACACAGTTAATACAAGTGTGTTGTTGACCATGGATGTGTGCTGCTAAGCTAACTAGCTAATGCCAAATGTTCAGCTCACGACATAGCATTTCGGCTAGCTAGCATTAGCTGGTCCCGTTAGCTTTGATTATAAACAACGAACCGATAGCGGGCAAAGCAAAAAGATACACGTGAAACATTAAAGCAGATCTTTACATCGGATACTACAAAGTTGAAACGATGAATGATATAATTTCGTGATATAAAAACACAAAAGGCCCGGTCGCGTTACTCACCTCGCTAGAGACATTTTCCCCTTTCTTCCTTAGCAATGGACTGAGCATGCGCAGTGGCATACTAACATTATCATAGATTGTGCTCTGCCTTTTTGTTGTGAGTCTATTTGTTTTCTTAATGTTTTTACTTTCCAATTGTTTAAAATGTGTCGTATTAAATGTTGTTTTATTTTTTCATGTCATATAAAACTATATTAAATTAATTTTAATGTTAAACATGCCAAAAAAGCTTAGTAAGAGAGAATATATCCCAATAAAGTATGGTGTTAGGGCCACCCTCAGTTTGTAAATCATTCAAAAGTAATTTGGAGTTGTTTTATCAGTTTCAAGCAAATATCTTTCAGAGACTGGATATCCCCAAAAATCTGAGGATGTTTTTTAGAGCAGTTAGTAATTATTATTTTATAATTCTGGATTTTGATGAGTTAGTAGTGGATAGTTCTTGCAGAAACTGCAGAAAAACAAATGAATGTTTTACATTTAGACATCTCACACTGTAACTGTGTGTCTGCGGCTGCCAATACCTGCTGCAAACATTTGTCAGGCTCTACTACAGATTATTAATTCTTGTGATGAATTAGATGTTCATTTAAAGTCTCAGTGACTTGGTGACAGCTCAAAGAGGTGAGGGCTTTATATGTAAAAAGCCTTCAAACTATACTAAACCTACTTAGGGTTGGGGTTTGCATAGTCAGAAGATAAATAATACTCATTAAATACGATATTTACATGGTTTCCTATGAAAATGTGGTTGGCTAGAATGCAGTCATCTAATTTTTGCATATACCTAACATATCTAACATCTAACTCTTATAAATGATGATGTTATTAATAGAAAATGCAAACAACAAAAATCTCTATAATTCTACAGTAACACACATTTTTTAAACTAAATAATATGTGTGATGGGAGCTTCTGGGCTTTTAAACTGTGCTGCCCATCATTCGGTACACACAAAGCAAATTTTTTTGCTACCATAAGCTATGTGAGTTTTACCCTTTGTCTGAAACCAGAGTCCAATCTGCTGTGATTGGTTAGCTGGTCGGTTCTGTTGTGATTGGTCAGCCACTTTGAGATGTGTCCCATACAAAGTGCTGGAATGCTATCCAATAGAAGCGGGAGTGTTACACTCTGATGTCACTATGTTAAGGAAGAAAACAAAGGAGTCCAATTGAGGCTTTTAAGGCAGGGTGGAGTCTGTGGGAGAGAAACTCCCTCTAGAGGGAACTTTGAGACCATTTCCATACACAAAACCTATACAACACACTACAAGAAAAAGGGAAAAACCCCAAAAGCACAATAGATTTAACTGGTTTCCATTTAGTTGTTTCATTTCTAAATAAAGAAAGCCTTCTTAAGCTTTTGTGACATTGCAAATCTTTTTTTCCTCGCTGTTGTGGCATAGGCGGAGTTTGACATTTTTATGCTTGGGGGGGCAAACCTTTTTTACTGACGTCAGTACACAGTCCCAACTATTGCGTGGGGCGCTATGGATACAGTAGCAATAAAGCCAGCGTTCACTGCACTGAGTATGACTTTTCCACACACAAACACAACTCGTCCCGTCATGCACGCCTCATGCCCGCCGTACACACACACTCATATGGAAGGGGCGGTCTCTCCCCTCAACAACAGTGCACTACATCTGTAAAACATATCATAACTGTGCACATCTTATACTTATTTGATAACTACTATATCCCTTGGTTACTTGAACACGCTACAATATTATTAACCAGTGTCCTACTTAGTGCAGAAGTAGACGCCTTAAACGTCCCAGAAATTGGACATTTTAAAAATCGCCGCATATCCATTACTGCTAATTATTGTAATACAATAGCTGAATCACTTCTATGCAAAAAAAAGCGAGGGAACTTGTGTCCTTAACCTCATACGTCACACACACACGTCACAACATGCGACTGCTCAAAAATGAAATTATTTAAAACAAAACATGATATTATTCAGATTTGTATTGTAACAATTATTATATTACATCTATTAAAATATTGATATACGAAATATTTGTATTGGAACAGTTTTAGACGTAGTAATGCTGTAACATATTTCAGCCACTAGGGGGGCAATGCCCCCCCTGCCCCCCTGCAAAATCCACCTATGTGTTATGGGAGCAGCAGAAGCAGGGAGGAGAGTTGACATTATACTGTATAATATGGCTGGAAGGAAACCCTCAAGCTGTTCGAGTCTCAGTTGCCAGTAAGGCATGATGTATCACTTTAGACTAATTTAATATAAAAGATTGAAAATTAGTCTTGCCATGCAATAGGAGGATTATGCAATATTTATTTCATAGACCCGATGAATGACAAATAGGAAATAGACATTCCTGCCGTAAAATTAGTATTGCTTTCCCTACTGACTCACTCCCTTTTTTTATTTCTTACTTTCTGCCATTGACTTCTAATACTTTTATCTGCATATTTTCCATCTCCCTATCTCCTCTGTCTCTGTTCTTTCTTTCCATCTTTCTTCCTTCCTCTCGCTATCTGTTTCTCGGAGGAGGCAGTCTGTCAGTCTTTCAGCGGAGACGTCGTTTATTAATGTGACACAGGGTAAAAGGACACGTCAAAGGAGATCAATCACGGAGCTGTGGCACGGCACGGGACAACAAAGCTTTTAATAAACCCAATCATCGGGGTGCTTCTCTTTTCTGATCGTTCAGGGCGTTTGAGATCGAGCAGACCCATACCATTCTGTCTGCCCCCCCCCTGGACTTGCTGCAACATGACTGATGGAGAGGGCACCACTAAAATCAAATCACCCTCCAAGGGAAGCAGCCCTTCAGATTTTTGAATGTTTTCTTAAGGATGGTGGTAGATGTTTACATTCAATTTTATTTGAAAAATACCTTTAACAATGGTCATATTCCTTAGCTTTATTGATTAACTGATTGGAATTCCTTTAAAAACTCCCAAAGGCTAAGGCCAAGGCTTATTCTCTAATAAACAGCGACGAGCAGTCAGGGGAGGCAGGGGAGGCCGAGCCTCACCTGTCATACTCCAATGTAACGGGAAAAAAACTAAAGAAAAACTAAATAATAATAATAATAAAATGTCTCCACTGATCTGTGTTGTAAATGTGATTTCTGTATGATTCCAATCGCTTTTTAAAGTCAAAATTGGTATGCGATGAGAAGTGAGGCAGGGACGAGCTCTGCCTCACGTAACCCTACAGAAACTGGCTGGAGCACGGGCACTAATTTAACACAAGCACTTATTTTGTGCCCGCGCCCCAGCCAGTTACTTTGTGGGGTAAAGTGAGGCACAGATTAGATCTGCCTCATATCAGATGCGTCACCCCACAGAAACTGGCTGGAGCGCGGGCACTAAGCGCATGCCTGTTACCATCTCACTGTAGGTCACAAATGTAATGTTTCTAGATCCCTTTATTACATGTGTCCTCGCCATCCATAGTCTCTAAATAACTTATTTCACGTATGATATTTAGGCTCGCTGGTCTCATCAATGATCATACAACGGCAATGAAAAAGGCACCAGTTGAGGCAGCCATAACCTCTGCCGTACTTCTTCGTTTCTGTAACGTCAGAGGTCCAACTCGGATTGAGTTGAAGCACTGCCAGGCCTCGGGCCGTTTCTCAATCGCGAGGAAACTATGGCTTCCAAGCCAATATTTCAAGGATACTACGTCATCGAGTGCCGCCGAAGGAATGTTCCAATCTCCAGCATACTTGGAATTCCATCGAGGCCACGTCCTTGGTTTGGGGGTAATTTCGAGGCTGCACATGGGTAGACTTCGCGTCCTTCAAATCCCCACAATGTTTTGCGCACGGACCAATTTCAAAAACCCTTGCGGAGAATGGCTGAACCGACGCAGCACAGCACACATTTAAATGTAAGTATGTAGTGGCGTAGAACATGTGTTGGTAAATATGTTACTTTGTTGCATTTGTTATCACCAAAAATGTGTTCCGTGAAAGTAAAGCAAGTTCATAATTAGATAGACATTGTGAGGTATTTATTTTCAGTACAGTTTATGTTGAAACTGTTAGAGAGGGTGGCACACTTGTTAGCCTGTTCCATTCTTCTTTGTTTTCCGAAGCCGTGGCTTGGAAGTATACTTCCTTCGTTTCTGAAGGAGGTGACTTGGAAGTAGGCGACTACCAAGCCAGTATCCTCGCGATTGAGAAACGGCCTCAATGAGAAACATCTGTATTTAAATACTCATGGAGCTTCCGTTGGTAACAAACGGTTGGAAAATGAGTCAGGCCAGCAGAGAACATTCAGTGCCAAATGATTTCTTGTTTAAAAGCCTGTTCTGTTTCTTTGAATTTATTTTTTCTGACATTTAAATGCTGTTGACCTATTTTCTTAATTGGATTTATTTTGAAGGGTTGCAGGATGGGAAAAACATGAATGGATTGTTGGTTGTGCAATCGTTTTCCAAAAGAGTAGCACTGCTGTTCTGATGCTGCCATCTTTTAACTGAGAGGTCATAATAAGAATAAAGCAATAATGTTCAGGTTACAGTTCTTAATGCCCTTGTTATAAGGTGAAACAAGAACAAATGTGATGCAGTCTACACCATAAATCCTGGCACCCCTGACATGACTCATCTTTACCTC